CTACATTTTCTAATTTTCTAGTTCATATTAAGCTGCATGAAAATAATTAGCAAAACCAAATAAGAAAAATGCTGCTTGAAATAGTTTTTGATGGTGTAGAGATCGTCACATCACAAAACGTCAACTTCCCAAAAGGATTTCATGAAAGCTACTCGCTTTCAGAAACTTTGATTTGATATCCAGTTTTATATCCAAAGGATTGATCTCTCTGAATACAAAACTTTATGTTTGAGCTTTTAAAGCTGTTTTATCCCTTTATAGTTATGACTGGATGAAAAAGTTGTTCTTCAGGGAGATGTTTTGTTCCGCATTTTCTGTCAGAAAGTTCAGTCTCTGATGTGTATAACAGAATGTAGAACATTCAGCCAGGAAGGCATTATTTGATCCATATACTGCCCACACAGCTCTTTTGTGTGTGTGTGTGTGTGTGTGTGTGTGCACATATGTGTTTTCTTTTTTTTCCCTTCAGACGCTCCGTTTCCTGTGCGTCTAAAACCATACCTCAGCAAAAGAAAAAAAAGGGAGGGGTAAAAAGTGGAAGAGTGGTTCTGTGGCAGACTGATATCTAGTGTGCCGTGACAGCTGGGCCTGCTCTCTTTCTCTCCCCTTTCACTCTCTTTTCTTCTCCTACACAAAGCCTATTAAGTATGCCACTCACTTAAAGGCCCCAGAGCCTCCCGCGGCCACAGGCTCCACCCAAAAGTGTGGCAGCTCTTTGTGATTGTAATGAGGCAGCAAGCCGGGCCGTGCTTGTGGAGCTCTGTCTGTGTTTACTCATCACCCAGCCATTCGGACAGGGGAGGGAAAGGAGGGGTGAGAGAGGGAGGAGGAAAAGTGGCTTTGGGGGTGTTGGGGAAGGACATGTCCTAGCGAGAGAGTGAGAGGAAAGGGAGGAGGGAGGGAGGCAGACAGACTGTGGCTCTGTGCCCTCTGGCATCTCTGACCCTTCTCTGACTGGCGCTGGGGTTCCACACCCAATGCTGTGAGATCGGGGGTGACGATCATGTAGGCTGGCACCCAGACCACACTGGGTTGCGGGAGTGTGAATGAATGTGCCTATGAAGGAGGAGGGATTCTGCAAAGGCTGAAAAAAAAAAAAAAAAAAAAAAGAGGCATTTTAGCCTGTGAGCATTTTGGGGGAAATGAAGAGACAGTGATGGACATGGAACTTAAACAAAGACCAAACTTGTTTTGTTAGCATGTATGGATTTGCGTACGAAGGGGGAAGGACTCTTTTTTTCTTTTTTCTTTTTTTTTTTGCCCTGTAAGCATCTTGAGAAAAATAAATAATTAATGTAATGTAAATAATTCATTTAAAAAATGAATAACAATAATGATGGACTTGGAATTAAAACTAAAATGAAACAAAAAAAATGATGATGATGATGATGATGATGATGATGATGATGGTGATGATGATGATGATGAAGAATGTACATGTAACAGAAAAATTTGTCAATAATTATAAGAAATTATAGGAATACCAAATGAGAGTCGGTGGGTTACCCAGGGTTATTATCGTTAACTAAAACTAAAAACATTATTCTTTTATTTTTTATCTAAAATCATTATACTTTTCATTACTTGAAATAAATCAAACTGATCTGATCTATCTGTCTGTCTGTCTATTTATCTTTTATTTATCTATCTATCTATCTATCTATCTATCTATCTATCTATCTATCTATCTATCTGTCTGTCTGTCTGTCTCTGTCTATCTTTAATTATCTATCTGTATGTCTGTCTATCTTTCTATTTATCTATCTGTCTGTCTCTCTATCTTTTATTATCTGTCTGTCTGTCTATCTATCTATCTATCTGTCTGTCTATCTTATTATCTATCTGTCTGTCTGTCTATCTTTTATTATCTCTTTATCTATCTGTCTATCTATCTATCTATCTATTTATATGTATATCTATATCTCTCTGTCTGTCTGTCTTTTATTATCTATTTATATATGTCTGTCTGTCTGTCTTTTATTTATCTATCTATCTATCTATCTATCTGTCTCTCTCTATCTTTAATTATCTTATCTGTATGTCTGTCTATCTTTTATTATCTGTCTGTCTGTCTATCTATCTATCTGTCTGTCTGTCTATCTTATTATCTATCTGTCTGCCTGTCTATCTTTTATTATCTCTTTATCTATCTGTCTATCTATCTATTTATATGTATATCTATATCTATCTGTCTGTCTGTCTGTCTGTCTTTTATTATCGATCTATCTCTCTGTCTGTCTGTCTGTCTTTTATTATCTATCTATATCTGTCTGTCTGTCTGTCTGTATTTTATTATCTATCTATATCTGTCTGTCTGTCTGTCTTTTATTATCTATCTATATCTGTCTGTCTGTCTGTCTGTCTGTCTTTTATTATCTATCTATATCTGTCTGTCTGCCTGTCTGTCTGTCTTTTATTATCGATCTATATCTGTCTGTCTGTCTGTCTGTCTTTTATTATCTAACTATATCTGTCTGTCTGTCTGTCTGTCTTTTATTATCTAACTATATCTGTCTGTCTGTCTGTCTGTCTTTTATTATCTAACTATATCTGTCTGTCTGTCTGTCTGTCTTTTATTATCTAACTATATCTGTCTGTCTGTCCACAATGGTTTTGATTTCCCTGTGAATGATCAAAATCACATAAAAAATGAAGTAGCGTCAAATTTGGTGTGGATTTATGTGGGTTGTTTGAAATATTCGAACCATCAGAAATGTTAGCCTAGTTTAATTGACCAGTGCCCTCACTTTCCCTGCGTGTTTCCACACATTCAGAGTCACGCTCCTTAGGCTGCAGTTAATCAGCATTATTTCCCGTTCTCAGCCTCAGCGACTCTGAATCCTCTGTACAGCCCCGCTCTCTCGCTCATACTCATGCACTTTCCAGGCGGTTTGTGCATACGTTCACTCCTTTCTTGTCTTTCTCTTTTCTTTTTGTGCTGCCGCAGACAGCTGTAGGGCACATCACGGTTCAGCGGCGGCCTCTCCAACTCTCTCTCATGCGCAGCAATGATGTCGACAGGTCGGGGGGGGGGTCACAGGCAAAGGGGTGCACAGACCCTCACTCCACAGAAGCCCGAAAGGGGGGCCTGTGTAGACCTTCATAAGTGAGGGGGGAGGAGGCAGCCGTGAAGTTAATAGGTCAATGAGTGTATGCCGTAGTGGAAGAATACAGCAGGGCGTCTGGTAGTCTGTGATAAAGAGAATTGGGCCTGCTCTTCTCTGCCCGGGCCTGCTCTCGTTTTTAAGTGAGAGCCTCTCTTTGTCAGAAGGCAAATTTAATAAGCAGCAAATGCATTACATGTTCTCTGCCGGCCCCCTCGCCATGGCAACGCGGAGTCGGGGCATGGAGATGGGCCTAGAGAGGACACGATTATCAGAGGAGCCATCTGCTAAAAGAGAGCCCAGACCCTGCCAAACCCACTGGGGGACTTCCACACCCTTCACTTATGCTGCTCATTTCCCCCTCGCCCGATTCAGACGTTTATTTCCTGGACTTTGTTTGTTTTGGGTGAGCGGGTGCTTCACATTTGAAAGAGGTTGAAGGAGAGGTATGTGTTAATGATGTAACTGAGTGCAAGAAACGAGTGAGCGAATTAGGAGGGGAGAATTTCTTGCCCAAAAGAGGAGTCGTAATTCCATTGAAAAAGAGATGATCCTCGCTCTTGGGCTGCTTTGTTTTGCACGGTTTTGTTGCGGTTTAAATCATGACTGTGAACTAATACACAGGTTTCCTCATAAATGCCCCTTAAAGATGAAATTCGGTCTCAGGGAGAAATTCAAAGAGAATAAGGCCACACAGAATCGGCTTTTTCTAAATGCCTCACTTACAAACATTTAGGCTCATGCATGTGGGTGTTTCTGTGCACTTTTGGCCTCGTGGACTTCAATGACCTCTTTAACACTCTTGTTGTATCTGTCTACTAACAGTGGTAATGTGTGTATCACAGGAGAATAGACTTTTCTGTTGTTTTTGTAAGTCACTGATTTCGACCACAATGGATAATGGATACTGATTTAATAATCAGTATGGCCTCCTTTTTCTTTTTTACTTGCAGATTTCATAGCTTGTATTGTATCCTGAATACACAAAATTATGGCTTGATTAGAACTGCACAGTAAAAAAAAATATATATATATATATATATATATATATACCTTATTTACCTTGATATTTTCATTGTTTTCTTCATCGCATGTATTTCATCTCAAACTCTTCACTGCACTGTTGTCTCCTTAGTAAACAAGCACTCTTTTGAAGTTTTAACGTGACTTTCCTATAAAAAGACAAATATATGTATTTTTGTTTTAATATAAACTTTAAAGCTTAAAGTTGAGGAGATACTCATGTACTCTCATTTTGTTTAAATACTTTTACAAAAATGTAACCAGATGAGGTTGTTGAGTAATTGTTTTTATTAAAAGTGATTTGTTTTATTGTTAAAGGCCAGATTAAATGTCATCCACAGGGGATTAAGGGAGAAAGCTTAAAACTATCAATATTATAAGGAAGCCATTTGATAGAATATGTGTGAGTTCGAGTGTGAGTGGATCTGTGTGTGATTGTGACACTGAAAATTAACCAAAATAGCCTATATAATTTTAATGAACTTTTAATAAAGGATAACTTGGATTCTTAGAGAGAGATTTCGATAGGAAATGCAATTTAACATCAGAAAAAAATACAATAGATATCGGTTGTATTATGAACAGAGATTCACAGTCAAATGCACCAAAACTATTCTGCAGTGTGATATAGTTTGTGACTGCATGATTTCCCCCCTTAGCATTGTTGAGAAACTTCTTCTAAGCTGAAAGCGCACAGCTGCCGGTAGTCCCTTCTGTTGGCATTCTAAAGGCTTTGTTGTTGAGAACTGAAGACAATTGTTTTGATTGGCTGAGAGTTTTGCGGAGGTAGGATACAATTACCCACTCTCTGGTCTCTGATTGGCTGGGCAGCATTCTGACGTCAGCCGGCACCCCTCCTTCGCTCCTTTCAAAGAGAAGTTGGAGTAATTTTGTCCTCAACTTTTCCACTCAAGTTTACTTTCTCAGGACTTGCCAGACGCTTATGGGAAACTCGGAGCCGCAACCATGAAGCTGTGTGGGACTTTTTTAGGTCAGTTAGACTTCGCTGTCTCCTATTTGGCTGTTTTAACTGTACACAACGAAAATGGGTTGATTAACAGGTGTCTAAAAAGTTGGCTAGACTGCTGGTATACGAGATTTGGCAGTGTATAGCCTCAGCATTTATTGTATCTTATATGAACCGTGTTTTTATGTTAATAGTCGTTAACACAATATATTCGACTAATTATCTATTTATTTTAATGACTGTTTTTTAATGATTTAACGCATGCAATAGTGTAGTGTTTATCGGAATACATATCAGATTTCTTGTTTCACTCGCTATTGTGAGGCTTTATAGTTTATCATTCCCTTTTTATCGCTTTAGGCATGTGTTGAAAGCTTGTTGTACTGAGGTCTATATATAGAACATCTATACAAATCATAACTTTCAGGAACCTTGTCTAGACCTTTTTTTTTTCTTTTTTTTTTTTACTTCAGAGCTGTTGAAGTGTTTAGACAAAGGGCGGTTTGTTTCCCGGGGGACTGTGGCGGACACAATACCAGCCCAGAGGCACATTCAAACTTTCTTTCTGTTGTTGTCTGTCAGCTTGTTCCATCTGTCAAGGCCATTCGCGGAGTTTGGGGCCCCTCCGGCCCACTCTCTCAGCTGACTCCCTTATGCAATATTTATACAGGCATCCTGAATGCGCTCCAGAGACACACTGCGTTAAAGAATGTGTATTGTTTTCAGTGGAGTTGCAACGCAATTGGACAGTTCTGGATATATTGAGGAAATTAAAACCAATATGTTTATGACACTGAACAGCTTTAATCGAGTTGTGACTTTTTGAATTGACACAACTGGCTAACATTCAAGAGGGCTATAAAAGTATGTTCACTGTAAAAAAATATATATATATCAATTGCAATTACATTAAACTGACTTTTAAAAAAATTAGATAATTGCTTAACTTAGGCCTATTTTGATGAGTTAAAGCAATGTAAAAACATATGTCGTCATAACTTATTGATCATATTTTTTTTTTACAGTGTTAGTTTTCCATCTGTGATTGTTATAGTCCCAAATACTCTGATGTTACACTGTAAACAAATTAAAAAGTTAAGCTTAATTTCTGCTTTTAATTTGTAAAGAAAAAGTGGTGTCGACGTTATAACCTGCCTAAATACCTGCTTTTTGACCACTTTGAATTTGATTGGAAAAAAAATAAGCTCTTAAAACTGAACATTTAACGACAGAAATGATTGTCAAGTTAAATTAATGCATATACAAATGCTGTAATGCATAATACGGAAAACATTTTACAGCGTACCCTTATTTGATATAAAATTTCAGTGGCCACAAAAGTTAGATTACAATTTAGTCATAGTATACTATAGTGTAAACGTAGGCCCGTTCGCCTGTGCAGGTAAACATAGCGATCGCTTTAAGCTGGGGACACAGATTATGAATGTAATTTGGTTGTTACGACTGATCATGCTCAAACGGACCGAGTTTGTTCCAGTTGCACTCAGTCGGCGTTTAAAGTCATGTAGTGTGCGGTGTCTAAAGATTCTAGTCTTAGAATTTAAGAACCAGCTGTTGCCAGTCGTCCACACAAAGATTTTATTAAACATGTTTAATAATGTACGTTCCCTGTCAAACATCATTCTTGTAATTTTATCAAACACATTTTCTTTTTGATGTACTTTTTTTGTATTAGGCTATTCATTTTGATCTGCAAACAAGAAAAAAAAAATCTGCATTCTAAAAAAAATTCAGAATAAGGAGTGATTTCTCTCATTTTTAAAAATATAACTTTACACTGGCAGTTTAGTTCGGAACGGAACGAACATCGTACATCGACATTACATAAGGACTGTCGTTATGCATCACGTCAGCACATTCATATTTTTTTTAAATATTTGTTTTAGGAAACTGTTGACATAATTCCCTTAAAATGTCGACCCTATTGAAAGTTTTTGAATAGGCTAACTGAACACTGATCAATGCATGTGTATCTTATTTTACGCATGATTGCACAATGTCTCCGATCTTATTATTTTGCTTAACCTTTCAGCATTTCTGTTAAAACACATCACAACCGTAATGTTTCTGTCAAAAGAGAGGCAGCGGCGGGTGTCTTTTTCCCCCTGGTCGCTGTCCATGGTACTGGGCCAAAGCGCTGTCTGGGGTCCTGAAGCCTAGCCGAGCGCAAATGTTGAACGTGTGCTCCCTGTGTTTACTCTTACCATTTATTCTCAAAGTTTTCATTGAGACTGCTGAAGAAGCAATCGCTCGTGTCCCATCCTCGATACTGTGAATCTCATTCTAAGTACTTATGGCAGGGGAGTGTAACTTATTTTTTAGGTATGGTTTCTCTTCTGTCTTTTGTTTATTGGATTGTGTCTCGGTTAGTGAGGCAACTCAAATCATATTGATGCAGCGTGGACACTTCGTGATTGATTTCAGCTCCAATGCATAACAATGGGACAGCAAAAAAGAGCCTGCCGCAAAGAGATAAGAACTTAATAGAATTTCTGAAAGGCGAAGGTTGGCTTTTTGAAAATTCCCCCCGTGTGCAGCATGGAGACAGAAGATAAAGAGTGGCATTTGTGGAGAATATTCTCAAATGGCTTGTAATGAATGGTTGTCATTTTCACTAATGGTTACAAAACAACAAAGCACAACAGCGGTGTGTGCAGCATTTAGGAGTCATTCCAAGTTACATTCGTCTGTTTTGAGTGAAGAAGACAGTACGGTGTTAAAGTCCCATTTTGTGTTGCCTCCCACTCTTTTGGCAGCACAGTTATATATATATATACCAATGCATAACACATAAATGAGTATTGTGTAATAGTCTTTACTAATACAACTTTACCAGTGAGGCATTGCCCATGAAATGTGTGTTGTGTGAATCACTGCACTGGACAGTACCATTCGGAAAGAGTCAGGAGGGAGGGTTCAGATAACACCAGCGACATATGCATGCTTTTGTGCGATATTAAAGATTAATCACTGGGCGTAAAATAAGCAGCTTACGCTATTAGAATTTAAAGTAACAGCGACCCGACGCGCACTCTGAACTATAAGAGGTATTTGATGTTTTAAACACGCATTTGCTCTACTACTTATCCGCCAGCGTTTTTCTGTCACTCTTGAAAATAAAGCTTGCATATGCGACAGAAGAACATTTTTAAGTACTTTTTACTCTCTAGTTATTTTGAAAACCATATATACGGGTGCTTCAGGGGATTGAGAAGCAAATATAGGCTACTGATCTGAATATATTGTAATATCAAAAATGTTTTTAATCTCAAAAGAACCATAACCGACTCAATATCCATAGAGAGCTATCATGGTCTTTGATAATAAGATGGTCCTTTGCTGAACCATTACAGAACCTTTATGATTATCTTGTTTCTGGCACAAAGGAGAACTTGTATAAATCCCTTGTAGTTGGAGCGTGGGTGTGGGTGTTAGAGAGAGGGAGAGCGATCATGTGTGTGTGTGTGTGTGCACTGAGAAAGACAAGAGTCTGAAATAGTGTGTGCATGGCTGTACACATGCCCGTTGAGTTATAGCGGGGGATATTCAAAGCCCAGCCCATCGATGTTGTAGGTTTTACTACAGCTTTCGTGATGTCATGGCAAAGGGCGGAGGGAGGAGGTGGGGGACAATGGCTCATGAGGGAAAGGTAAGTCAATATTACGTTTTCTCGCTGACAAAGGCAAATGAAGCCATGTTTTTGCTTACAAACAAGTAGCGTTCATACCGCCCCGTTCTGGATCCTCGCTCGTCCGTAGCAGCACCAGCGAAGAGCCGAATCTCTTCCCCGCTGTCACTGAATCTATCGGGATACTACTGAAGTAGAGTTTAGTTTTCTTTTAGAAAAATCTATAAATGGGATATTTTAACCCAAACTGTCTCACAGCGTACTGAATATACACGTCGAAGACGAGAGAAGCGTCTGTCGGAGCAGCTTTCGGGATTATTTTTCCCCACTCAGGTAATCATGATCATGTAATTTGGCTTTATATGTGAAATATAAATAGTTTTGGTTCTTTTTGTTGATTACCAAGAAAAATATCCATCAGGAGGATCTTTGAGATATGTATCTGAACTCATGGTTTAGAGTCATGGGTTGAGTTGTTAAAAGATATTATAAATGTGTCACGCTGTATTAATATATCATTTGCTAGCCAAGGATGTAGACTACATATCTAGATCATCCCATTCCGAGATGCCCTACAGATCAAGGTTAATGGCTTTTACGTTGAAGGGTGTCGCTTTATTTTCATATTTTATCCTCATCGCACTTGTTTGATCGACGCTTGATTTGTATCATCTTTAAAGTAAGATGTTTGCTGGCTTATAGTTCTTACAAGCGGGTCTGTTTCGGAAAGGATAGTGAGTGTGTCCATGCTTCCCTGCTAGAAGAGGCTCCAGCGGAGAGTGTGTGGAGTTGACATGGTAAAAGTGATGGAGAAACAGTCAGATATGGCGCTCTTGTACAAACGCAGCGATGCCTATTTGTTTTCTCACTTTGGTTTGATCCTCGAGATCAATCGGGAATGCCGTGTCAATATTCCATATCTGACTTCTTATTCTCGCGCATAAATAGCGTGCCGATTAATGCGCGCGGCGTGCGTTAGTCAAAACTGTTTATTTCTTAATCCACTTTATCGCGTTGATGTGCTTGTGTGTTTATAATTTTCCCGATTGATATGTTCGCCTGGGTTCGGCGTGATCGCACTGTAAGTGCTCACTGTCATGTAGTTGTATAAAATCTCCATCTTTTTGGCACACATACGGAGTTGCTTCCATATGGCTCTGTGTAATTAAGGTCGAACAATGGGCGTAGCGCAGGACTCCCGGCCGAGTGCACGAATGGCGTGGAAGAAGAAGAAGAAGGAGGGGTGGCCATTTGATTTTCTGCTGCAGAAAACAGAGTGGAGAGATGCTCTCTTTAAATGTCAACCGCCCCTGGTGAGATGCGCAGAAGAAAAGTCATGAGAGTTGAAGCAATAACGCCCGTTCTCTGCATCCAT